ATGAGCCTTGAGACTTCCTCAGTCGACTCGAGATATCAATTCGAGTCGACTGGGTCATCTTCAATCGTCAGTAGACCCCGATGCGTTTGTCCATCTTTCCGGAGAGAGTCGACTTCTGCTAGTCGACACATGGAAGTTGACTGAGATAGATGCCTGGGCCCTTATAGACCGGAGATATTATAAGGAGTCCGCAGAGAGAGTCGACTTCAGATAAGTCGACTCGGTAATGTCTGATCCGTTATACGACAGTATGGCTATATCACCATCTAATTTATTAATATATAAAGAGAAAATGGTATTTATTTAAAATAGTATCTAAAAATCAATAGGAAAAACATTTGGTTTTCCGCTTAAAAAAGTTAGATTTACTAAATTTGGCAATTTTTTTGTCAAATTTAAAATCTCGCCTAAATTAATGTACATAATTATTTTGGTCAAATATTGCGGCTATTAACTTATTAGTTGCATGATTTAAATTTAGAATATAATATATTGACAACTTGCGGCTATTACCTTTGTTAGTTGCATGGTTTAAAAATTTGATATATAATATAATGAAGAAAATAAAAAAATTTTCTTTTAAAATTAAAATTGAAAAAATAATTATTCATAATATATGGGTCAATATTAACTTGGATCGAAACGAAATAGTCAACTACTTAATTTTTTTGATTTAAATAGTTTATATATTTTATTTTAAGTAATGAAACAATATAATTTTTATATTTATGCTCATTAATCACATAGTTTGCTAAATATAGGATAAAATTTTCTCAAAATAACTATTTTATGGAATCACATTATAGTCAAATCGAATTTAATAAAAATTTTGTAATGACCCTTATTTTGAAACAAATATAATGTAATTTATTATCAGTTATGTGCATCACACATGTTGTATACAATTTTTAAATAGACATTTTTATGTAATTTTGCACAATTTAAACTTTATATAACATTTCAATAAATTAATATAGGTAAATAGTATTTACATATTGATTCTATATTTTTTATTCATAAATTTTATTTAATAAGAATTTTTTATTTATAAACATTAATGAACATCTCTTACGGGTGCACTGCACGGGACTCATACTAGTATAAATATAAACAAGTTGTATATATATATACACACATTAGTTTTTTATATATAAAATATATAACTATAAAAAAATATTTTTAAAAATAATTATTAAAAATATAATTATAATATAATATATTAAAAATTAAAAATATAATTATTAATTATAAAAATATAATTATATAAAAAATACTATATATATATACATATATATATTAGTTAGTTGTATTAGTATACATATTAAAAATAAAATTCAGTAAATTTAGGTTAAAAAAAAAAAAAATCACTTAATTTAGGTTAAAAAAATATATTAAAAATAAAATTCACTTAATCTTTTAATTTAAGTTAATTTAGATAAATTGTAGTTTAATAGTTATTTATAATATAATAATTTCTAAATTCTAATTTATAACATAATAATATATAAATCTAACATAATTTATATAATAAAAAAAATTGATTATAAAAAATAAAACTGTCGTTCTACCCTCGATCGGGGACGTGCACGGTCGCATCCTACCGACGATCGCGAACGTGCATGGCCGCGTCTAATCGGCGAAACAGAACGTGCACAGTCACGTCCTACCGGAAAACAGAACGCACACGGTTCTGTCCTATCCGCGAAATCGGACGGCACCGTGTACAGCCGACATTATTGGCCAGACATCATTTTTTTTTTTTACTTTTCTAAAAAAATATTAGGAGCAAAATTGTCCAAAAGGCGATACGGGCGTCTCCAGTGGTTAGCTATTTGGCTAACTATTATGACGTGGACAAAAGAAAAGTAAGAGAGAGAGTAGTCACTAGCTACTAACAAATAGCTTATCTATTTCACGTAGCCCAAGATTATGTGAGAGGAGTATGTGAGTCCAATAGTGTAAAATAGTTATTTTTCTTATCTCTCATATCCAAGTCAGCTGAACATATAGCTAGTAATAACTATTACCATTGGAGATGCCCTAACAATAGTGCGGTAAATAACAACACCCAATTAAAAACTCTGATCTGGGAAATCCTGCGAGACAAGTGGGGTCGCTACTCACCAATTGCAACGCAGTCAGTCTTTTTTCTACGTCCAGTCTACCCAACTCCAAAATATAATAATTATCTTTATATCCAATTATTTTTCACTTTTAAGTTTTGGAATTAGTTCACGCCGGCGATGGGGAATTGCTGCTCCGACGGTACTGCCGGTCAATCGGCGGTCGGAGGAACCATTTGCACTTCGGCTGGGAACGACGCCGTCGATGCCTTCCTCAGGTCTCGCGGTTATAGTGGACTTTTCTCTCAGATCGAGGTCTGTGTTACTTATATAATGTTTACCTTCATGGAAATGCATCTTTTATTAGCTTTTCAGTCTTTGGCTTGTGAAATGTAGTCGATCGTTCTTTTGGAGTTTGCTGTTTCGTGTGTTTGTGTGCGCGTGTGTAGGTTTTGATCTTCGATGCTGCAACATCTAATTTAACACACTTAAATTGATCTAATTTAGCTCACTTGCTTTCGTATTGCAATGCCTTAGATACACCTTGGTTTGGTGATTGAGGATTAGGGATATAATAGGTAAGGCTGAGCCAGTCCACTGTAGTTAAAATCTTCATCTATTGATTGAAGTTTTTAGATAAGGTAGAAAAGAACACAAAATAATTTGCTAGGTAATAGTGCAGGTACCGGGCTATGGGGGGGTTATGAGGATGTTGGTATTTGCAGTTGAAAGATGTATTTGAATTGTTGTTGTACATCTTTGTATGTGGAATGGGGCTCTACATTTTTTTTAGATAATAATAGGCATTTGTTGATATTGATGATTTCTTTTCTTGTATAGTTGAGTTTACTAGGTCTTAAAAAGATATAGGTTACTACGTATGTCCCCATTCCTTGAGTTTGTAAAGTATAGTCCTGTAAAAATGTGCTGCGCTGAGGTCTTTAATCAAAATCAAAATAAAATATTCTCCCAAGTTAAGATGGTATGATCTGAGCACTCAGATTTTTTTGGAGGCGATGCTGGGTTTGCACCTAGCCCATTTGAATTGGAATGCTAGTGTGTGGCCATGAGGATGGGTGTTAGAAAATTTCTGTTTATATTTGAGTTGTTATTGAGCATAAATATGGATTGAATTACCTTTCTTTGAGCTAGCTTTAGGGGATGAGTTCAACATAGGCCCATTTTAACATGGTATCATGTGTACAATAAGATTCTTGTAACCACTTCACCTGATCTTCTCCGCTAATTCGGCATGAGTTTGCAAATGGCTTCGTCATGTGAATTGGTGCTTATTTGTCACCTTTCACGCATCCAATGTGGGGTTTATGAAGCCACTGGGGCTGCTATTAGACGTGATCATATCCATCTCTATCCTTGATTGATAATGTACTCTAATATATGCTAATTTATTATCAGATTTTTGTCTCTCTTCTTTCCTATCAGACTCAAATTAAGGGAGGCCCATAAAGTTTTAATGACCTGTTTTGAGGTTTTGGCGACCACACTGGTTTCTTGATTTCATTGATAAGGTTTTATGATTTTCTCCATTACAAACTATATCAAACATATAGTCCATTTGACCATGTTTGATTCCCACAAAAAGTATAACATCTTGTCACCTTGTCCATGGCCACTTCTCAATAGCCTGGCAAGGATTTTTAGAAATTGTTGTTGCTCACATGCAAAAGTATTCCATATTAGATGTATTGGGGAATTGTACGATGCCACCTGGATTTTGCAGATTCTACTTCAGAGGGGTGTAGAACTAACTCATGCAGATGGAAGCTTAACAACGAATGAACAGCAAGCTCCTGATAGTTTCAGAATGGAGAATAAATCTCAAACTTTTTTCCATATTCAACCACCCTTGTAATAATCATGAGCTATCAATTTATATAAGAACATAAATTTGTGTAACAAGAAATGAACTCTATGACAATAGTTATCCTAATTGACTATTTTAAGGTAAATAATTAATAAAATTTAATCAATTTAATCTAAATCAGGTAATATTTAGTCTTAATCTCCATCGATATGCAGACATCGGTCCTCATGCTATTTTCTAGTGATCAAGTGTTCTTTTTGTAATACTTATCTCATCCGTGATTCCTTCAAGCCCAGTTTTCTAATTTTTCTAAAAATACTTTGCAGCTGTCTCTAGCTGCAGCAAACTTGCGTGATCGAGATGTGCTGTCCAAGGTCTGTTCCAATATCAACAAATAGGATAATAAATATATATAATTCGGGCAAATTTATCAGTTTGTGTTTCCTGTTTTCTTGGTCTCTCCTGCCACTTCATTGTTTGTTCTCCATTTCAGAGTGATCCTATGGCTGTTCTTTACATCAAAGGAAGTGATGGTTTACTGCAAGAGCTTGACCGCACTGAAGTCGTCTTAAACTCATTGAACCCCAAGTGGATTAGAAAATATATTGTTACTTACCAATTTGAGATGGTGCAGAATTTGGTGTGAGTTTTATTGCAAACACATTCATTTATACCCCTGTTTTTGTATACATCTATCACATGTGTCTGAATAAAATGGCTTTGCAGGTTCCGCATCTATGATGTTGACACTGAGTTCCACAATATGGATGTTAAGGTATATTCTTATGCCGTATGGCATGTCTCTTGTTACAAAATTATATAAACGTCACCAAAAAATGTGAGAGGGCCAACTGTTTTATGTTTTTTCTTGACTCTCATTTATATACAGTTGTACACATGCTAAAACTGCCAATAATGAGTTGCCTCGTATGTTTTTTACAGGCACTTAAGCTGGAGGAACAGCAGTTTCTTGGTGAGGCTACTTGTACACTATCTGAGGTATGATGTTGGATCATCATGATTATTGACTACGGTTTGTTGTGAAACGTGTTGCGACAAACAAAATGCTAGACTTGTAGAACCTCAAATTTCCTTAGTGTTCTGTCTGTATTTCATTGCTATGATCACGGTGTTCTAATTGGTTAAGTAGTCTTTTATGGTGACAGTGACACACAGGACTGATTATATCATCCCCTATAATAAAAATTCCTCATCGTACTTGTGTATTTCACCTTCACCTTCCAATTTATCTTGCTTCAGTCTGGATAATGAACCTAGTTCAAGTCTGCTTTTGCACCTTTCATATTTGTTTGGTCTTTGAATATAGTTATTCCATTGTATTCATCATTTCTTTTCTGCAGATAGTCACAAAATCAAGCCGGACATTAACGTTAGATCTTGGACATGGAGACGGTTCTTTCCCAACCCATAGTCAAAAATTTGGACAGCTTACAGTTTATGCTGAAGAAAGTGTAGCATCAAAGACCACAGCGGAGTTGATATTGAGATGTGCAGACCTGGAGGCGAGGGACTTGTTCTCGAAAAGTGTAAGATAATACTTTCTTTCAAATTTTCTTTTTTAAACTCTATTTTAAATCTGAACTTCGAAATGTTGATCTTTCTTTTTTGTTTGGCCTTTTCAGGATCCATTTCTGGTAATATCAAAAATCACCGAGAATGGCCTGTTAGTTCCAGTTTCCAAAACTGAAGTCCTGAAAAATGATCACAATCCCAGATGGAAACCAATTTTCTTGAGTGTTCAGCAAGTAGGAAGCAAGGTACTGGTCATCAGTGCTAGGCATTTGTTTCTCTGTCTTGTTTTGCCTTGCTGTGTTTATCTGTATTTTTTTTTCAGCTCCATTGCAAATGGAGCTGGAAGAGTCATTGTTGACAATTCTCCTGGCGTAGTGCTAATAATGGACTAGATCAAAATGACTCAATTAAATTCTAGTGCTTCTTCTATTAGTGAAGTTTCTAGAAAAAAGAAAATATCAAACGACGCAATGCACCTTGGGTGGCTACGGAAACAGCCTCCTTGTATAATTACAAGGGTAAGGTCTGCGTACAACTGATCCCCAGACCCCAACCAGTTGGGAATATACTGGGTATGTTGTTGTTGTTGTTGTTTCATGGTAGACTTTCATCTGGATTGTAGAAAATATGGATCATAATTTAGCCATCCTCTCTGACTTGAATATAGAATGTGCTTGCGATGTCAAATTTAGACATATAATTACTATAAACATAAATGAGCAAAAAGACAGGTTGAAATTGGTCCAGAGTTTTTTTACCTTTTCATATTATGTTTGAAGTTTTCCCTTCTAAATCTTTAGGGAGTTACCTGAATTTTAATATAAAAATGTTCTAAATATTGCAGGACAGTCCACTGATGATCGAGTGTTTTAACTTCAATAGTAATGGAAAACATGATTTATTGGGGTAATCAACTTGTTTTCTTTATCAATTCTGATAATTGATTTTCCAAACTGATCCTTACCTGCTTCTTTCCTACGTTAATTGTTCAGTAAAGTTCAGAAATCACTGGCAGGGTTAGAGAAACTTCATTCTGTTGCAACAGGAGAGAGTTTGTTTATCCCAGTTTCAGTTGGGCAAAGTCACGAAAACAAGGTAAGCCATAAACCAACAAATTTAGTGCGAAAGAAATTTGTGTTGGGGACAAATATCATTGTTGCCTTCTGTGCCATGTAGGTCTTGAAGAGTCAGTTGTTCGTCGACAAATACTTAGAGAACACCCAACATTCATTCCTTGATTACTTGGCTGGAGGCTATGAGCTGAATTTCATGGTTGCTATTGATTTCACTGGTATTCTCTTTTCCATCTCTGCCTAACATACTTCTCATCTTCATTTAGAGTTTGTATATAAGTTTTCTTTCAATTCCTTTTATGTGTGATGTCGTCCTATAATTTCCTTAATATGGCTTTCAAACAATTCTTTACTGATTTCTTTTGCTACATTTATCAGCTTCAAATGGTAACCCCCGGCTACCTGACTCGTTGCACTATATTGATCCATCAGGACGGCTAAATGCATATCAGAGAGTAAGATGTATTCCTTGATAAAGATTATATATCTTCTGGATGTGAGGAAGAAAGAACTAATATGATCTTTCTATATAGGCCATTTTAGAGGTTGGAGGCGTGTTGCAGTTCTATGATTCTGACAAGAAATTTCCAGCTTGGGGCTTTGGAGCGCGGCCAATTGATGGTCCGGTATCCCATTGCTTCAATTTGAATGGGAGCAGTAACTATTGTGAAGTAAACCTTAAGCCCTTCAACTTAATTTTCTAAATATTATTCCTTTAATATCTATAGCCTGCCTATTCTGTGTGCCACTATAAAGCACTCTCTGTTTTCCTAGGTTGAGGGGATTCATGGAATTATGATGGCATATACGAGTGCCCTGTTTAATGTCTCATTAGCTGGACCAACATTATTCGGACATGTAGTCACCAACGCTGCACAGATAGCTAGTGCATCTGTGGCAAGAAATGAAAGGAAGTATTTTATTTTGTTGATTATTACGGTAAGTTGCAGAAACAAATTATGATTCAACCTTTAGTTTGTGATATGAAGTTTTGATATTTTCTGGTTACTTTTGTTTATATCTCAATTTTCCTGAAGAACTCTTTTGAAGCTCACAAATATTAGAGTTAGTTCATTTCTTATGATATCATATTTAAAATATTATTTTTTGATTGAATTTCAAAAAACTAGATATCCTCTTGAAAACTTTTTGTGCTTTTCAATATTACAAGTTGCACCTATTGAGAGGTAGCTGAGCATTAGAGACGGAAAATTATCCTTCACAGCACCTTAAAAGGGTATTTATGTAGTAACTTTGATAGATTACTAACCATCACTTCCAATCATTTTTCTCCTAGTTTTACATCAACTCAAATTTTAATTATTTTGTTTTAAATATTATTCCAATTTAAGCTTAAATTCCCATCAACAACTAACCGAACCACCTTCTTCAAAATTAATTAGCAAAATAACAAATCAAATCCATATCCAGTCACACCCATATTATTTATATAAGTCAAGTTTTGTAATCTTCGTGCATTTTATTGTTTCATTTGGTAAATTGCTATTATTATTATTATTATCATTATTATTATTATTATTATTATTATTATTATTATTATTTGTCTAGGATGGAGTGATAACAGACCTCCAGGAAACAAAGGATGCTTTTGTTATGGCATCCGATCTTCCACTGTCTATACTCATTGTTGGGGTTGGAGGAGCCGACTTTAAAGAAATGGAGGTATGTGCTCTATCCACCCTTGCATGATATTTTCTTGTACAAAATACTCAAGACCATTTTGTCCAATAATGTTCAGTCCCCTCTTTATGCAATAACACATTGTATAATTCCTTATCAGATATTAGACGCGGATAAAGGAGATAGACTTGAAAGTTCAACCGGACGTATCGCTTCACGAGATATAGTCCAGTTTGTTCCTTTCCGAGATGTACAAAGTAAGTCCTTACTCATAAATTCCAGAAGCTTAACTGTAAGTTCTATCACAATCTAATTATAAAACTGTATGTGTTTCTATTTTATAAATTGGATCCTCGGGAGGGAATATTGGCCAATGACAGTCTCAATGGTATATATCTGTAGTTTTCTATTGCTTTAGAGGTTGTCTTTGTAGTTATCAGTTATCACAGTAAACTTTTCTCATGTGCAGGTGGAGAAATCTCTGTCGTTCAATCTTTGCTGGCAGAACTACCTTCCCAGTTTTTGACGTATGTGCGAGCAAGAGGTATTGGTCCAAAAGCATAATCAATGTAAAGGTGTACATACATAAAACACCGTCTGGTTTCTTTTCGTGCCAATCAAGAATGCCGTTCATCCATGTCGAAAAAAAATAAAAAAAAAATCTTCCGGTTAAGGTCTTTTTTCATATCACCAGGGAAAAACGTTCTCAATTTTTTCGTTGTTCATTATTATTTTAAATGGCTTAAAGAAACCATTCTTGTTGAATAACATGGCAGATTTATTTTTTATAACAAGTTACATTGATTTTCTTATCATCTTGACAGTTTCTTCAATGTATTTAAGCCAGTGTTGAGTTTCTCATATGTTATTGTGACTCATTTTGTTCAGAAATCCCAAGCGAGTAATATCATTGTTTTTCCAACTAATGTGAGCGTAGTTTTTAAAGTCGGTGCGGTAATCAACCTGGACAGGTCTTCGGGTTACCGGTTCAATCGCCGAGTCACATTGTTGAGTCAGATAACTAATTTATAATTTAAAATCTATAATAATTGAAAG